ATTTAAGTTCGTATAATTTAAAATTTTTTACAGTGTTTTGTAAAAACCAATTTCCCCTTTGGAAAAAGATTAAAAGGTCAAAACCTTTTTAATTTTTTTGCCTAGATTCGGGAATTTTTGAAATTTAACCTTTAACTTTTAAAATGAAAGAAAAATTTTTTCAAATTTAAAATTAAAGGCCCCAAATGTATAAGAGGAAAAAAAATTTCCCCAGGAACTTTTCCACAAAAATGTTTTTACGATAATTTTTAAAATTTATTTTTTTAAAATGGATTTTAAATTTAATTTAAAAAAAAAAAAAAAAAAAAAAAGGAAAAAAAAAAAAAAAATTTTTAAAAAACTACCCCTTTGGGTTTTTTTTAAACGGGGAAATTTGCTAAAATGGAAAAATTCATCCCAAATTTTTATTTTTTGGGACTTATTGAAAAATTAACCAAACTTTTAAAAAAATTAAAATTTTTTTTAAAGTTGGTTTTTTCCCTTGTTTTTTTATTAATTTAAAAACCCTTTCCCAAAAATTTTTTTAAAATTTTCATTTTATAAATCTTCAAAAGGTGGTCCTTTTTTCCTGTAAAAATAACTTTTTTGGGCCTTTAAAAATTTAACCTTTAACTTCCACCCTTTAAAAAAAAACCAAAAGGGAGCCCAAAAAATTTGTAAGAGATAATTTCCCCTTTCGGCCCCCCGGGTTTTAAATTCAAATTTTTTATGGGTAAAATTTATAAAAAAGGGGCCCTTTTTAAAAATTTTATAAACAAACCTTTTAATCTACAAAAAAAAAATTTTCTAAACTTTTTGATTTTCCCAAATTAAAAAAATCCCTTAAACCCTTTTTAAAAGAAATGTTTTGGGCAAAATAAATTTTTTAAAAAGTTTAATCAAACCCTTTTTTCAAAAATTGGCTAACTTATAAACTTACTTTTAAAAAGGGTTTTAATTTTTGAAAAAAAGGGGTGAAAAAAAACTTTTTAAAGGCAATTTTTGGAACCACAAAATTTTTACCCAAAAATTTTTTTAAAGCCCTTTTTAAAAAAAATTTAAGGGGTTTTTAAAGGGGATTTTTAATTTTTTAAATTTTTAACCCCAAAAAAAAATTTCAAAAAAAGGGCTTTTAAAAAAAAAAAAATCAAAGAAATGAAATTCTTGGGGTTTTCAATTGCTTAATAAAACCTTGTGTTTTGGGGAAAAAGGATTTTTCCCGGGTGCCCCAAAGATCGCTTGGCCACGAGAAACTTTTTTTTGGTGAGGGTATTTTGGGGAAGGGTCGGAAACCCCAAAAATCGGGGGGTCTTCTGAAGAATCAAAAGGAAAACATTTTCCCTTTTTCTGGAAAAAATTAATTTTATTAAACTGCAAGGGTTACCAAAATTTTTTTTGGTTAAATCTATTTTTAATTTTCCCGTTATAAAAAAGTTGGGGGTTTTCGTTTTCCTTAACAGCCCCGGGAAAAAAATCCCCAATTCTAATGAAACAATATATATTCAAGATGTAGCTTAACATTAAAAATATTTTTAATTAGATCTAATTTTTAATTAGATTAATAATACTCCGGAAACTTGTTTATTTAACTATTTTGAATGGTTTTGGAGAAAAGTTTATGTTTCCCTTCATTTTGTTTTCTTTTCAGATGGAGTAGAAAATGATAGAATTGTAAAGGTTTGGCATTAGAATTGTATAAAACATTACTAATATATCAAAATGTCATTGAATAAGACCAGAAGTTAGTGATTGTCGAATACGTCGAATAAAAATAAAATTATCATTTTGATCTCATTCTCAATAATTTCTGCGTGTAAACATCTTGATCTAGGTATGTTTTATTTGAATTTTTAGCATGTATTTATTCTCAATTCATTTACTAGACATAATTTACTACATGTATATTTCTAACTACTTTGTACGTACCAATAAATATAACAACAAATAAACTCGACACAGCTTTTGCCATTATCTGTTGTTAATGAAATTTCGCCCTGAACGTAAGATTTATTTATCCAGTTTAATCCTGCAGTCGCTAGTCTTCGGTCCTTATCCGTCAAACGAAAAAAACAAATCGCCGAGATGTTCCAAATGCTAAAACTCTGTGTGTTCTGCAAAAATTAATATCGGTGCGAACTATCTTCCTATTGTTATATTTCCGTTATTCATTCTAATAATAATCTAGTCTAATATTATTACTTGTATTACCTCGGATAAATCTTTTCGGGACTAAAACATCCTAGCATGTTGATGTTGTTTCAAACATTGCACATAGAAAAGTACATAACATTTTACGGATGTCCGATACTTTCAATCAATCTTCTCAATCTATTTAGCCTACTTCCGGCTATTTAAATGTTTCCTGTTTTTTTGTTATGATGATTTTTGATCATGCATAATCAAAACAACCTGTATATTTTAAAATTAGCAAATGGAGAAACAAATTTATCACCAATGCATAGGGCTATAAAAATTAAATAACATTAACACTATTGTCTACACAGAAACATGGCAATTTGTGAGTTATCCCTATCACATCTGTTCTCTTCTAACTATTTTCATGTCTAGTTCCCTTTTTTCAAACAGACCTTAGAGGGTGATTCCAAAAAACAAACAAACACACGCACGCACGCACGCACACACACACACACACACACGCGCGCACGCACGCACACAAATGACCATGATCAGTACAGTAACAAAAGAAAAGAAGAAAATGGAAATGACTGGCTGGAATTTTTAAGAACGGTTGTTATAAATTATGTCAAAGGGGGTGATATTATAAAAAGAACTGATAACTTGCAAAAAAAAAAACGGTAGTAAATTGTGTTAAAGCCAACTTAAAGTGGATGTAATTAAAAATGTAAGTTGATGTTTATATCATTTATCATTTATTAAAGAAACTGTTATGTCGAATTCTTATATTTCAGTAAAATACAACTAATAGTAAGGGGTTCAGTTCGTTTTTCTTCGACAATGCGCTCTTTCTCAAGTCATCGGCTATTTCATTTATTTTCATTGTAACTTTATTGCTATACGTACCATCTTATAAATGTCGGTTACTTCGCATTATATGTTTATGTATTGCTGGACCTGAAAGATATTTTCAGCCTTTGCCACCATGCTGTATAGAGATAATCGCACATTCTCGGCGTTTTCCGTCAAATTTCGAAATTATTATTGATAATATCTGAGATGTTCCGATGGGTATCAAGTCCAAGACTGCAAACAGACCAATACTGTTGGTAGCAGTGGTTTGTATTTTGATATAAAAATTCCTTAATCAGACTGTAGGAAAAAAACATTAGAAAAAGGTTAAAATTGCTTAATTTATACATGTTCTTATAAGTAGATAGCCGATAATAGGCGTCTACATTTTAGTTCAAGCTTTTCAAGTCATAGAATGTTTTATGTTAGTTCTGGCTTCCAAAACTTTTTAGCCGCTTTTTATAACATTTTTTTCTGTCATCTGATGCGTCGGCATTGAACGTCCTGTCACAGTATAAAACGAGTACCCTGAAGACTTCTTATGTCAGAAAAAATGTTACTTACACTGACATTTAATAATAAGGAAAACACATTAAATTTTGTTAATCAACAATGCGACATTTCCCAACCATAGACTAGTTAAATGGGTTGTATGGCCCAATAAAATATACCTGGCATGTTCAAATATCTTACTAATGTAAGTTACAAACATTGTTTTGACTAACAATACGTGTACTTTATATGCCGCTTTTATTTTATTTCTTTTATTCATTTTTTCATCTTTTGTGGTAACCGTACTGTCGACTCGTACTCTTAAGACCTTACACTACTTCTCTCTTCCCATCGGTACGTGCACTTCGTAGAAAAGACACAAGGCATTGGCAGAAGATTTAAAGAACTTGGGATGGCAAAAAAGAAAACCGAAACCTGTATCCTGTGGACCAGCTGCGAATGCCCTGAATGGAGCCGAAGGGTGAGGCTTTATAAAGTAGGCAGGAACGACGAGGAATGGAGCTTGGGTGCATGAGCCCATGGCATGAAGTGAAGTTTTGAAACGCAGGATTTTTGCTTGTTAGTATCGTCAAAGACTTCTCTACATTCAGGGTCTCATTGGCTACCGCACTGTGACCAACTTTTAGCTCATTATTCATATATTTGGCTAATTCTCTGTGGAAAGTGTGTGGAAGTATATTAATACTATTATTTATATAGATGAGGAGCAAAGAGCTCAAGTCTACAATCGGATCTGTTGTCCTAAAATGGTTCAATTGATTAAGAATATATAAACTATATATTTTAAAAAAGACAACACTGTCTTCAAAAGTATATGCATACAAAAGTACGTTCATTTTCGCATTGTTTTCCTTATTGCAACAACCATCGAAAAGTTTGCACAGTTACGCGATATTTATTTGTCCGTCATTTCTTTTGGGAGTGCTTATATAACACAAAGCGGTATACTATATGAAGAAAAGACTCATTTGAATTACTTTTGCATTTAAATATACAAATGTAGATCTTATAAGTATGTGGTAGAAGTAGCAGCTAACAAAACAGGATAGGATGATAAAGCACACTTAATGCGCGAAAAAGTGTATGTAAAACAAAGTTTAAATAATAATTAAAGGCCTTTTTCCCAGTCTATGGGTGATACTAGAGATCGCAATGGGACAGTTAAGCCACTCTTTTTTTTCTTTTTTTTTTATCAGCCCACTAACATTGTTGGCTACACAGAAGCATGGTAATTTGTGAATTATCCCTTATCACATCGCTATTTATCCTACCTATTTTCATATCCAATTCCCTTTTGTAGAAATGCCATAGAGTGTGACTCCAAAAAACAAAAACAACAACAACAAAAGAACCAAAATAAAAAAACGCGCACACACACACAGACAACACAAAAATGACCATGGCCAGAACAGTAACCAAGAAAATGGAGATCACTGGCTGGAATTTGCAAAACAAAAACGGTTGTAAATAGTGTAAAAGCCAACTTAAAGGGGGTGTAATTATAAAAGTAAGTTGAAACCTATATATTGTTATCATTTATTGAAGAAAATATTAATTATGTCTAATTCTTATAATTAAGTAAAAGACATACAACGATCACCGAGAGTAAAAGATTTAGTTCTCGTTTCCTCGACACTGCGCTGTTACACAAGTCATCGTCACAGTAGCATGCTCGAACCCTGACCCCGCTCAGTTTGCAGGAATCACATCCAGCTGTCACCCTTAGGCCAGTAGTTTTTGCACAGGAACGAATTATTACTGAAAATGCACAGTTAATTTAGAACATTAACAAAATCTTATAGCATATATAGTCCTACGTATGCTTTAAAGTAAATGATAAATATGAGTACGTATATATTATCTTGACAGTGTGTGTCCATACCACGTGGCAAAAGTATACATGGTCAAAACTGACATTTTTGCCTAGATTCGGATTTTGAGTTTTAACTTACTACAATGTATGCGCTTTTTTCATTAAACTAGTGCATACTAGTATAAGAGTATGATATATTATCAACATTTTTAGTACAATAATGTTGTTAGCGATACCTAGAAATGATGTCAAATGCCATATTAATTAACTCATATACTGTATGATATTAAAGGCTTTTGCGATTTCTCATAGAATGCCTCATCAAAAGCTGGTGCTTGTTTACCATGTTATAAATAACGGTTTCTTTGCATTAAATGTTTAACCTGTTTAATATATCTTGCTGGACCCTAAAGATATTTTCAGCCATTGTCACCATGCTGTATAAGGATAACACATTTGTGAATGCGACTAATGAATGAATGAAAGAAGTTACATTTTTAATACAAGTTAACTTCTATATGCAGTTATAGCTGCAATTGGAACCATTCATTTTGTACCTAAATTTATTTAAATACGCTTTTAATGATGGAAATGGTTTAGGTGAGATTAAGGGGGCATTTTAAGGGAAATGTTTACGAAAAGGTTGGAAGAAAGGTTTGGAAAAAATGAAAAATAAATCAAAGAAAGTGAAATCAAGTATGCATTTAACTTTCATAAGTATGTAAGTATTCATTAATATTAACCTCTGTCGTTTGAAAAATGGTATTGGCTACAGTAGTCGCAGTTGTCCACGATGTAACTTGTGTTTGATGACGTCATTTTGAAGCTCGTACCACAAATATCGCCGTCTGCTGAAGAATCGCAGGCGAAACATCTTATCCCTTTCACGGAACAAATTGTATTTGTATAAACTGCAATGGGAATTATAAAGTCGAATAAATTGTAAGTACTATTATAATTTTACAAGTTTTGAGGTTTTCGCTTTCATTACAGATGCAAAATAGCCTAATTCTAATGAAAACAATATATATTCAAGATGTAGCTTAACATTAAAAATATTTTTAATTAGATCTACTCCGGAAACTTGTTTATTTAACTATTTTGAATGGCTTTGGAGAAAAGTTTATGTTTCCCTTCATTTTGTTTTCTTTTCAGATGGAGTAGAAAATGATAGAATTGTAAAGGTTTGGCATTAGAATTGTATAAAACATTACTAATATATCAAAATGTCATTGAATAAGACCAGAAGTTAGTGATTGTCGAATACGTCGAATAAAAGTAAAATTATCATTTTGATCTCATTCTCAATAATTTCTGCGTGTAAACATCTTGATCTAGGTATGTTTTATTTGAATTTTTAGCATGTATTTATTCTCAATTCTTTTACTAGACATAATTTACTACATGTATATTTCTTACTACTTTGTACGTACCAATAAATATAACAACAAACAAACTTGACCCAGCTTTTGCCATTATCTGTTGTTAATGAAATTTCGCCCCTAACGTAAGATTTATTTATCCAGTATAATCCTGCAGTCGCTAGTCTTCGGTCCTTATCCGTCCAACAAAATAAATAATCGCCGAGATGTTCCAAATGCCAAGACTCGGTGTGTTCTGCAAAAATTAATATCGATGCGAACTATCTTCCTATTGTTATATTTCCGTTATTCATTCTAATAATAATCTAGTCTAATATTATTCCTTGTATTACCTCGGATAAATCTTTTCGGGACTAAAACATTCTACCATGTTGATGTTGTTTCAAACATTGCACATAGAAAAGTACATAACATTTCTAACGGATGTCCGATACTTTCAATCAATCTTCTCAATCTATTTAGCCTACTTCCGGCTATTTAAATGTTTCCTGTTATTTTGTTATGGTGATTTTGATCATGCATAATCAAAACAACTTGTACATTTTAAAATTAGCAAATGAAAAACAAATTTATCACCAATGCATAGGACTATAAAAATTAAATAACATTAACATTATTGTGCAATTTGTGAGTTATCCCTATCACATCTGTTTTCTTCTACCTATTTTCATGTCCAGTTCCCTTTTTTTCAAATAGACCTTAGTGGGTGATTCCAAAAAAACAAACAAACACACACACACACGCACCAACGCACGCACACACGCACGCACGCACCAACACACGCACGCGCACGCACGCACGCAAATGACCATGATCAGTACAGTAACAAAAGAAAAGAAGAAAATGGAGATGACTGGCTGGAATTTTTAAGAACGGTTGTAATAAATTATGTCAAAGGGGATGTTATTATAAAAAAAAACTGATAACTTGCAAAAAAAAAAAAACGGTAGTAAATTGTGTTAAAGCCAACTTAAAGTGGATGCAATTAAAAATGTAAGTTGATATTTTATATCTTAATATCGTTTATCATTTATTGAAGAAACTGTTATGTCGAATTCTTATATTTCAGTAAAAGACATACAACTAAGAGTAAGGAATTCGGTTGTTTTTCTTCGACCATGCGCTGTTTCTCAAGTCATCGTCTATTTCATTTATTTTCATTGTAACTTTATTGCTATACGTACCATCTTATAAATGTCGGTTACTTCGCATTATATGTTTATGTATTGCTGGACCCGAAAGATATTTTCAACCTTTGCCACCATGCTGTATAGAGATAATCGCACATTCTCGGCGTTTTCCGTCAAATTTCGGAATTATTATTATTGATAATATCCGAGATGTTCCGACGGGTATCAAGACCAAGACTGCAAACAGAGCAATACTGTTGGTAGCAGCTGTTTGTATTTTGATATAAAAATTCCTTAAACAGACTGTAGGAAAAAAACAACATTAGAAAAAGGTTAAAATTGCTAAATTTATACATGTACTTAAAAGAAGATAGCCGCTAAAAGGCGTCTTCATTTTAGTTCAAGCTTTTTAAGTCATAGAATGTTTTATGTTAGTTCTGGCTTCCAAAACTTTTTAGCCGCTTTTTATAACATTTTTGTACTGTCATCTGATGCGTCGGCATTAAACCGTCCTGTCACAGTATAAAACGTGTACTCTGAAGACTTCTTATGTTAGAAAAAATATTACTTACACTGACATTTAATAATAAGGAAAACACATTGCGACATTTCCAAACCATAGACTAGTTTTATGGGTTGTATGACCAAATAAAATGTACATAGCATGTTCAAATATCTTAAATTAATGTACGTTACAAACGTCGTTTTGACTTACAATACATGTATTTTATATGCCGGTTTTATTTGATTTTTATACATTTTTTTTATCATTTGTGGTACCCGTACTGTCAACGCATACTCTTAAGACCTTACGCAACTTCCCATTGGTACGTGCATAGAAAAGGCATACTAATTAGCATAAGATTTGAAGAACTTGGGATGGCAAAAAAGAAAACCGAAACCTGTATCCTGCGGACCAGCTGCGGATGCCCTGACTTGAGCCGAAGGGTGTGGCCTTATTAAGTTGACAGGAACGACGAGGAATGGTGCTTGGGTGCATGAGCCCATGGCATGAAGTGAAGGTTTGAAACGCAGGCTTTTTGCCTGTTACAAACAGTTCTTTTTGGGCTCCCTTCATTTCCGTATTGTCAAAGGCAACTCTACATTCAGGTTCTCATTGGCTACTGCACTGTGACCCAATTTTAGCTCGTAATTCATATATCTGGCTAATACTCTGTGGAAAGTGTGTGGAAGTATATTATTACTATTATTTATATAAATGGGGAGCAAAGAGCTCAAGTCTACAATCGGATCTGTTGTTCTAAAATGGTTCAATTGATTAAGAATATATAAAGTATATATTTAGAAAAAAAACAATGTCTTCAAAAGTATATGAATACAAAAATACATTCAGCTTCGCCTTGCTTTCCTTATTCAACAATCATCGAAATGTTTGCAAAGTTCCGTGATATTTATTAGTCCGTCATTTCTTTTGTGAGTGCTAATATAACACAAAGCGGTATACTATATGAAGAAAAGACTCATTTGAATTACTTTTGCATTTTAATATACAAATGTATATCTAATAAGTATGTGGTAGAAGTAGCAGCTAACAAAACAGGATAGGATGATAAAGCACACTTAATGCGCGAAAAAGTGTATGTAAAACAAAGTTTAAATAATAATGGTATGCATCTCAGCATCTGTGATCCATCGTCGGATACCCACGATTGATAAACATGTCACATAACATGCAGCTGATATATGTTCATGGTTCGGCCGTGGGTATCCGACGATGCTGTGATCGCCCTTCGACAATCTTTAAAAATATTTTCGTCTTTTTGAGCTTTGTTCATGACACTTGGTATATTTAGATAATTTCATCTGATTATTTTTTTGATTTAGGTTGACACTGATCTTGACCTATTTTTCTGCTTTCCATAGATGAAATTGCTTTTGATTTAATTTCCATGTTTTGGGTCGTCCGGATAAAATCGTACTCTTCTTGACAACTCGACTTTAACGTGAAATTTCATTGGTTGATAGCTAAACGACTTTAACAAAATGATGTAAAGTGAAATTTGATTGGTAGATAGGAAAAAGACTTTAACAAAATGTTGTAAAGTGAAATTTGATTGGCTGATAGGGAAACGACTTTAACAAAATGTTGTAAAGTGAAATTTGATTGGTATTAGCTATTTTTTGTATTTCATTTTTAGTTTAGTATATGTTATAAAAATGTATCCAAATATCAACTTTTTATTTTAGTGTCTTTTTATAATGAATAAGGATTTTATATGAGTATAATATATTGTCTGTCCATGTGAACTTGTAACAAACTCTGAGAACATGTTAAATTGTCTATATATTCAGAAAATGTTATATTGAGTATCCATGTTAATTTAGACTTGGACTGTAACAATTTCAGATAATGGTTTGTTTACAGGAAATAAAAGTTCTTTTTACTACATGAACTCAAAAAAAATCATTACTATATCTCTTCATATCAAAACAGAAAAAATAGTTCAAATATTTATGTCAAATGGTTTTTTATATGAATTAAGAAAATATTGTATTGTATGTCTTTGTGAATTTCAAGATTTGTTATAATGCTTGTATGTAAAATCAGAAAATAAAGTTACAATTAAAAAAAAAGGTTTATGAGTGTTTTTTTTACACGGACTGGTACATTCTAGTACACTAAAAGGTACTCGTAGGTGCATACATTTAGTACATGAGACTACAATAACCAACCACAGCTTTAGAGTAGTAATATTTCACCAACTGTATGTATTTTAACGATCACAAATTAAACTTACAAAGAGAGACACAGACGATCTTTATATGACGAGATTTCGTACAGTTCTATATGGTTTATTGTCCTGGTCTACCTTTTTGCTCAGAGTAGCATTTAGAGTAGTATAATTATTATGAAATTACATCTTCTGTCTTATATGAGGGCAATTATATGTAGTAATTATTTTTTCCCCTTTGATGACGTAACGATAAAATTCTAAAGAAATTCGAGAAAAATCAAGGTTTAATACCTCCATAAGATAAACTTTGAATTTTAACTTTGAGTGTCTCATCAAGAAGGAAACGTCGGGGTAGTCCATGTTTTCATACATGTTGTAGTTGCAAACTTTTTGATGACTTGGATGACCTCTTACTGAGATAAGTAAACAAATGGTATATAGAAGCAAACAAAGACAGAACACTGTTGTCCAAAACCACACAACATGAAGAAGAAGGACATTTATCTTGTGAGTTTCTGTTTTGACATAGTCTGGGTGTGCATTAAGATCTATCGTCACCACGTGATGAAGCAATTTACAGAGGAGAACTGTCATAAACAGATAACCTTGCCCTGAAAAAGCATAGCAAAGGACGATCATGATAATGATATAACAGAAAGAACATAGGATGCAGATGATATATGCAAAACAAAACGCAAGGTCACATGATGCACGTTCGACACCCGAAATTGTGAGTACATGTATTATGTAATGAATAATGAGCTTTTCCAAAACATTGTCAAATTTTCTGTTAAACACTAGGTCCCATTTGTCTCCAACAAAATGAAAGATCTGAATCAAAGTCGGTCTTGGAAAATCACTGATTTCATTGACAGGTGGTCTTGTCTTTTTACACAACTTAACTGTTTGTGTATATTTGTGTTTCATTTCTACATTCGTTTGTGTATATTTCTGTTTCATTTCTACCTGCAATTTGGAACTATGACGTCGAGGAGAAAAAAATAGCGCAGTCGTCTGTGTCTTTTTGCAGGATTTCCTCACGTGCATGGATTCTTCAAATGTCGTCTGCGTACGTGTATTAAAGGTCTTGACGTTAGTGGACGCTTGGACAGATTGCTGTTTAGTTAGCTTTATGTCTGTTTGTGTAAAGCTACTTTTCAATGTCGGTAATGCCTGGCATGATTTGTGACAACCTATCCCTGTTTTTTGTGTATGCGATTCATGTTGAGTTGACTTATTGACGATGTTTAGTAACGAGGCAACAGTCAAACATATTGGAAACGATTCTCCATTTGAATTTGCACTGCTTAAAGATATACTTCTTCGACAGAGCGGACAATCAAACGAATGTAACTTCGTAGGTCTATTTTTTCTCTTTCCATCTATATAGTCAGTCAAACATTGACGACAAAAGATATGTTGACATTCTAACTGACGAGGATCTATAAATGTCTCCATACAAATCGAACAATGTATCAGCTCATTTATATCTTCCATGATAGTCAGCTTGTTTGTTGTACGTATAATTATGTTTGATTGATTTATCCGTTATTCTGCACTAGCGGTTTACTAAAAGTTACTTTTGA